GGGGGGGCTCTTATGAGGAGAAGGACCAGAACTTGTTACTTCTGTTATCTTCTAATCTTTTTATGGCCATGGTCATATTTCTCGCAACTATTTGATGTGGAAATGGCAATTCTGCACTTTGTCTGTTGGACAATATCAAGTTCAACTGAAACATTGGCCTGTGACATATCCACTCCCATAGATACCAAGGACTGGTTTAGAGTATTCAGCACCCTAGTTAAAAAAAACAATGTCATATAATTGTAAAATACCAATAAAAACAATAAAATATAAATCAAGGGTATCCCAAATCAGTTGCCAGTTAATATAGAAAAACAAATTGGAGATGGTATCAAAACCTGGTTGATGATTAAGGGCAGCCCATTCAGGGTGAGTTTAGGGAAATAACTTAACACATCAGTTGGGCCCATTAGTTCTCTGCTTCTATTATCCAACCCGTTTAAACCGAGGGAATGTGTTGAGTGATTTATACCTGTTGTCTGCTGGATTTGACTTTAATAAGTATGTGTGAGGTAAAACTCACCTCTTAAATACTCCGTATCATTTAGAGATGACTTAGGCTTAATTTAACATGATATGAAATTCTAGTTTGATGGTGGTTTGTTGGGTGCCTGCCCTTTTGATGATCTAGAGCAGCCCATTAGTGGTCTGTTAGGACAATTTGTCCACCCTTGCAATGTCAACAATTTAACCCGTTTGGGAGAGGGGATGTGTGTTGATTATCCCGCATCAGCTATCTACTTGGTATGAATCTAATATACAAGTGTGAGGTGAATCTTACTTTTTAAGGATCTTCTTAACGTGAGTCACACTCAACTTATATTGCAAAGAAGTCACTATGAACTTGTGTGCAAGTAATGTCTGATTGGTGTCATGTTAATAACCACTAGCAATATTAAAAAAAATCTCACCTCTGAGAGTACTCATTAGGACATTTGTCCTTCTCCCATTCATTTTTCTGCTCTTCTATGTCATTCTGATCAGCAATCTGTATTTCACTATTTTCATGTTGTTTGCCATGCCAATCAAACCACTTTGCCTGAGAACCCAACTGCTCGGTGTAGGAACAAGATCCATGAGAAGGTCGGATAGATACACCATCGAACAAACTTGGCTGCAGAACCAAGTTGAAGGGTAGGACTTCATTACTTACTGTGTGGTGTTGTTCATCCATTGTTTTAAAGACGGGTTCTCCATTCAAACTCGATTCTAAAGACTCGTGTGCATTAGAGAGAAATATCGAGTCCACGCCAGCATTGTCTTCATGAGAAGAACCATTTCTGATCAGCTGAGACTGTTCTGTGAAGATTTGGGGAGGGCCAGAAGCTCTTCTCTGTTGGAAATAAGATGAGATGTTGATGTGATCTTTGCTTCAGAAAAAAGAAATACTTCAACCACCACAGAGGATGCTTAATCTACCTTCTATACATGACTCAACTCATATTTCCCTTAAAATTGAAAATGCAGTACCGGTTGGGGGAAGGGAATGAGCCATCAGTCTCTAATGCTTAGAGTTCATTCACATGTGAAAACAACATATGTGTAAACTACAAAAGTGGAAACAATTTGTTTCATGAAATCTACTTAAAGACTCTACATGGACTGTGTTGTTTTGGCGAAATTCTAATTTTCAAAATCCTAGACAAATTCTGATGACTGCATTTATCATTAATTTTATCAAAGCAAACATATCCATACGGATTCCATGTTTGACTCAAGTCTCAATCCATATCCATTCATGGAGCCATGTTTACTATCTATTCATCATATATCATGAGCTTTTTAAGGGCAATTTATAATAAGCTGCCGTAGTGCCATGATTAACTGCAGTCAACATAAATTGAGTATGATATGTATAAACATTACCCACGGTGTCAACTTTGAGGGCTCTGGACTCCAACCTTGGTATGGTCCTTCATACATCTGTATTTTATCTTTTAAGAACTGAATATACTGTATAACCTGCAATTAACACCAAATCTAGAGAATAAGCTGTTTCCTGTAATTTTCAATTACATTGAAGACTTCAGGTTAAATTTAAACAGAGTGTAAGTGTGTAACAATGCACCTCCAGCAAGAATGAAGCTCTGTCTCTCTTCTGATCATTATCGGGTATGATATTCCTTAAAGTTTGGAATCTGCAAAAAAAAATTACTTTAAGTGAGCTATATGCAGTTGTTTCTATTTAAGGACATATTAAATCCTGTGGAGAGATTCATCCTATGTAACACTATACATGCCGAATCAATTGTATATACAAGGGGCATTGATCCTTAAAAAAAGGCAATCATGAAAAAGAGTTTCGTCCAAGTCTCAAACTAATCTGCCATTTCGGACCATTTTTCACTCACCTTTCAATCAACAGCACTAACGGATCAAGCCCAGTGTATTCTCACAAGGTGGGGTCTGGAGAGGGTAAGATGTGCACAGACGTTACATCTAACCGTGAATGGTAGAGAGATCGTTTTCCAATAAACTCTCGACCCAGAAAGAATAAAATCAAAGTGGAAAGACAAGAAGGTATGACACTGGATGAAAACATGTTGTCTATACCATTGTAATACTCTTGGCACAGTGGCAATATGTCCTATAAAACACCATTAATCTCCATTCAGCTCGTATATTAAAATTTGAGTGGATTATGCAACAATTTCCTCAAATGGAATAGAAACAAGAACAAACCAAGTTCAAAATGCAGCCTTAAAAAAATTAGATTCCTAAATTTGAAGAGACACTACTCTGTGGTAGATATCTCCCATTTGGCATTAAGGGAAACTCGTTGGCCTAATAACATCCAAACAATTGCAACACAAACAGGGGAAAAAACTAAATCTTGCCTCTCATTGATTTTGCTCCTCCGACGCTGCTCTGTCTCAGAATGCTTGGACCTAAATGCGATTTTCTTCTGCTGATCACTGTTCATACCCTCCACTGCAACAGAAACCATCAGAAATTGAGAAAAGATAACATGAAAGGATTCAAGACGTATGTTCGAACAAGGAGGAGACGAACCCTTGTCGGAGGAATCATCGAGAGGTGTCCTGGAGGAGAATTCCAGGTCCTCGTCTTCATCCCCTTCGTGGTGGCTACTCTTCGCAGCTCCCACCATTTCTCTAATCTATCAACCAGATTCCGGAAACGAGAACAGAGTTCACTCTTCGTCTCTCAATCAACGACGATTCACGATTTGAAAGGAATAACGAGTGCGCTGCAGGTTCATATGGATTCTATGAAGATGTACGGTACTTGGTGCATTATTACAGACCTAAAGCTTGTGTCGGAACTTGTGTGCCCGCCCGCCCACATGATTGAATCGTTTGGAGATGGAGCCCTAAGCCGCCGCCGCCGGGATCTTTTAGCATATCCACTTTCTTGGCCTGTCCAACGTGACGCCAAAGTAGTGACCCCATATGTCACACAAATAATGTCATCTTTAGACACAATCTTTTCCAAAATATAATTTTGAATAAAATTTTAATGATCTAAATTAATTTAATAATGCATAATAGCTATCATCAGATCACATTATATACAGTACAACCAATTATACTATGTTTCTCGTATATCCGCAACGATACTCATTTACGAGTAATTCAATATCCATTTTCGAACAACTAAATATGCTCATACATTTTTAGTAGCTGAATAGTCATTTTTCTAAATTATATTTCAATTATTGTTAGAATATAAGAAACATTTCTTGAGCTACAATCACAAACTTGAGCTTTTGGTTGAGTTGGTTTCTTGACATGGTATCAGAGTCAAGTTGACTAAGAGGTCACAGGTTCGAGACTCAGCGCCACCCAATTTTAAAAAAAATTAAAGTTTCACATGTAAGGCTCAAAAATGACTACGACTGCACGTGAGGAGCGTGTTAGAATATAAGAAACATTTCTTGAGCCACAACCACAATCTTGAGCTTTTGGTTGAGTTGGTTCCTTGACAATTATGTTCGAAAATGAGTATTCAATTACTCGAAAACGGATATTTTATACTATTTAGTTACTTGAAAATAAGTATTTATGTGGATGTACGAGAAATATCATACATCTGAAATTTATGGTATAGATACTCACCGTCGGATAATTTTTTCAAAACGTTTATGATGACCTCTAATACTGATGCTAGATAGGGTCTGAATATTTATATACATGCAGGCATTTATTGTTTTTGTGCGCGTTTAACAAATTTTCTAAATGGTATCAGTATGTCTCTAAAAAATATTTTTACTTTCAATTTTCATATTTCCGTTTTTAATTGAAACCTCTCTTTTATCACTGCTAATTATTAACTTACACATCACGTTATGTTTATACATTTTTAATTTATTCATCATATCATATTCTATTTTATGATAAAGTAAGGAAATAAGTGGTAAGAATTTTTTAAAGTAAAAAATATAAATTCTTTAAATATCACTTTTTTAAAGAAGAAAAAAATTTATGAGAAGAAAATACTAAAAGTTTAGAGTTCGATTCTTGCATTTGTCAATTGTACAACGCCTACCGATACATGCCTCCAAATAAAATAAAAAAGATGAACCTCATCCCCGAGGGCTCCTTCAGACCCAGACGGTCAGTGAGAGGAGGTAAATTAGACTTTAATCATATATTAATAGCAACGAGTGGAGCCTGCACATGATACTTACAGAGACCTTATGTTTAGCATTGTTACTTCTCAATATAGTTGTCAAAGAATCGAACTCCTTCCACACTTGACATTCCTTATCTTTGTCAAGAGTAAACAAGAATTTAGAGAGGGGAGTTTAAAATGTGAAGCGGTGACCATTAGCGGCTACAAAGCCTACAATGTTCATTTTTTTCAAAAACAAAAAACAAAAGTAAAAGAGAAAAACACGGCGTTGGATTTGCACAGGTTGGATGTATGTCGATTGCCAGTCATTTCGCTACTGGACAATTTAAAGAGAAACACTAACCTAACGGATCGTGTCGTTTTCAAACCCGACCTACCAAATCCCCAAATTATCCGCTCGCCGTCACCGGGCCGGAGCTCCGTCCCGGCGTACTCTGACCCTCGAACGGAACCCTAACCGTCGCGTCCGATCCTCATTCTCCGGTGCACTCATAACCTCCAAGTGCTCGCACAATTGCCTGCCTCCTCTCCACTGTCTTCTCCGTTCAAAGCGCCCATTACTGTATACGTTCAGTGCCCGGCATCTGCAATACCCGATTGTGCGTTGACTAGAAAGCTCTCTGAATCGCTGTCGATTCATTTATTGGTTTGTCAGTGGTCAGGATGGGGGCAATGACGTCGTCCGTGGCTGCAAAGTTTGCGTTTTTTCCGCCTAATCCACCGTCTTATGAGGTGGTGATGGAGGGGGCCGCCGCGAAATTGAAGATGACGGAGGTGGAGGAGAGGGAGAACGTGGATGTGTTGAAGCTGGCTACCAAGAGAGGGACGGAAATTGTTGCAGTGTACGTGAGGAACCCGGCAGCTAAGCTAACTCTGCTGTACTCTCACGGGAATGCCGCCGATCTGGGTCAGATGTATGGGTTGTTCTGTGAATTGAGTCGTCATCTCCGAGTCAATCTGATGGGGTACATCATATCATTTCCATGCTGTTCTTTTACAAATCAATATACTCATAAAAATGCTTTTTTTTCACTGAATGGATATATATGCGCTTAGTTTGGGGTTTTAATGCTCATCAGCATAGCTGTTAGCCGTTTGAAAAAAAAAGTTTTGGTTAAGATGCCGATGTCCTATGTTAGGTAGTGTAATGTAGCAACTACGAAAAGAGTGTAGGTTCCATTTCATGATTTTTTTTAAAGATTTGCATGATTTTTTATGCGTGCGTGTTTTTGGTTATAAAGAGCTGAATGAAGTGACTAGGGAAAGGGTGCATCTTACATTCTGGATACTTGTTTGAGGCGCTGTTTGGTGGAGAAAGATGGCTTATTGTGCTTATTCTGCCAATAAGAAGAACAAGTGGCTTTCGACTTACTTATTTGGTTAAAGTAGATGTGCTATCAGATTTCCTTTCTTCCAGAAAATGTATCAGATTCACACCCGTTTCACGCAAATAACCCTCACCATACATGCCCCAAGCTAGAAAATATATTTCTATTGTCATGTGTGAATTGAAAATATTTTTAGTATGATCTTGGTTTCACTCTAATTTTTCATTTCCATATATATATAGAGAGGTTTAACTTATGATTCTGTTTGTTTTTTTTCTCCCTGATAGGTACGACTATTCAGGGTATGGACAGTCTAATGGCAAGGTATGAGAGAATTGAAAGAGATAAATCTATTTATTCCATGGTGTTGAGACTTGAGACAAAATTTGCTGAAATCTATTTATTTTTCTTTAGCCAAGTGAGGAGAACACTTATGCTGACATAGAATCTGCATATAGATGTCTCAAGGAGACATATGGTGTGAAAGAAGAAGACATAATCTTATATGGACAGTCTGTTGGCAGTGGGCCAACTATAGATTTGGCATCTCATTTGCCAAGGTTACGGGCTGTAGTTTTGCATAGTCCAATAATGTCTGGACTGAGGGTAATGTATCATGTGAAGCGGACATATTGGTTTGACATATATAAGGTTAGTTTTCTTTGCAAGGCACTTGCATAGCACTTGAGACCATATATAGTTCGTAGACTTAAAAGCAGACATGGAGTGGTTTTTCCATACCTATAATATATTTTCTGTGATGCAGAATGTTGACAAGATACATTTGGTTGAGTGCCCTGTTCTAATTATACACGTGAGTTCAAATCTCCTCTTAAGTTTCTTAATATAAATTTTGATTCTAATCTATTTTTGGTTCTGTTTGGATGGAGAGGTTTGGAGGGTTATGGTGGGAAAGACTTCAGAGTTTGGAAGGAATAGTATGAGTCTTGATAAATAAGGCATTTCTGAAGACACCAATCATGCTAGTTCAGTTTTATAATTTTTTGAATATAATGTATATCAAGATATAGACTTAGCCTTCCAAAACTCTCCATCCAAAATAGACCCTAAGAGGTTAGGCAACGTGCATATATTGATGTTCTGTTATATGTACACTGAGGTTATTTTTGTACATTATTGAAAGGCATCTTTTCCGTTTACTACAAGGCTGGTAAAATCCTGCAAAATTGTGAAAAATGGAGGGATTATCCGTTTTTCTTTCTTCAAAGGCAGGCGCTTACTGTAATCAACCTTTTCAACTCTCAATCATAAATCTTTGCAGAATAATCTCTGCTTCTTACCTGCTTCTTTTTCTTTTCCTTTATTTTTAATCTCAAAGGGAACTGCTGATGATGTTGTCGAGTGTTCCCATGGGAAGCAGCTTTGGGAACTTTGTAAACAAAAGTATGAACCACTATGGGTTAAGGGCGGTAATCATTGTGACTTGGAGCTCTACCCTGAATTCATTAAACATCTTAAGAAATTTGTCTCTGCTATTGAGAAATCATCACACTTGACAAGAGATTTGTCAGTACCACCACGCATTGATGCTATAGACAATCCTCGAAATAGCACTGATTGCAGTGGACCTGGAGAAAGCAGTGTGCAGACCACCACAAATTTTAGGCCCAGTACAGAGAAAAGGGAGAAGCCTAAAAGAAGCATAGACTTCAGAGAAAAATCAAGAAATAGTGTTGATAGGAGAGATAAAACACGTAAGAGTGTAGATCAAGCTGAAAAGCAGAATTCCAATACAGAACCCACAGAGAAAGCAAGGAACAGCATAGACCGGTATGGTGTATGGAGTATTTACTTAATGAAATATGGGATTTCATCCAAGTACAATGTGTTGTTTGTTGTTCTTTTCTGAACTTCACCATTTTATTATGTGCTTTCCACATTTCATAAAATTTTCACCCCGGTAAATATAGCATGGAAATTCCATACTGTCTTACATTCCACATATTGCAAGGATGAAACACAAATGTAAGCCATTTAACAAACTATGTTGAAAGCTTGGATCTTTGTAAGCCACATAGCTCTTTTTTGTTTATTAACAAAAGTTGACGAAAAGAGACCAAAAAAGATGTGTTTTTTCCAACTTTCATCTCTGCATTAAAACTGCCCCAGTGATTGAGCATTGTGATCGTTGTTTTTGCAGCTTAGGTGGCATGATGAGATCCGCTGTATTATGCAATATTGATTGTTTCAAACCAACAGGAGCTAAGGTTGCGGGATAGGGGAAAAAGGTCATTTTTCGTTACACACTAGAGGTTCATGGCTGCTACTATTATTCTTAATTTATTTTTCTTGTGAAATTTGTTGGCTGGTGGGCATTCTTTCCTTTTGTATGTTGTTGTTACCTTTCATTGGCAGATAATGTATTCCTTTCTTTTGAATTCGTGTGAAAGAAGATATATTTTAGCAGTTTTTCACTTTAAGCTAATTTTGATTTATTGAATGGCCTAATCTACCACTGTTGACTTTTGTCTTCATTGCAGTATTAATATTTACTAGACCTCCATTTTATTAAGCAGTTTCTCGTACTCCATAGAAAACAGCTATTCTCTGATGTCTATTTTCTACTTCCTCCAGTCTCCGTCTAACAATAATGTTTCCGTTCACTATTCACAGTGTCAAACTTTATTCGCTTTGTTGACATATTTCCGTTGTCCATTTGATAAAATAATACAGTCATGTCACATTTAGCTTCATAGATCTTTTCATTTAGTTTTTAAAGATGTAATTATTATTTTATTTCATACGATTTTTCATATAAAATGATTTAAAAATAATTTTAGTCATACATCGTAACACGCAACAGGAACATTATTGTTGGACGCAGTGAATATTTTTCTCTATGCTGCCTGGTTATGTTAAAACTTCAGAGAATCAAGAGAGAGATGATGAAGAAGAAGAAGAAGAAGAAGAACAAGGAATTTGTGTAATGCATTTTATTCTATCTATGGGCAAGTGTCCCAATCTTTAATGCCACAACTCAGATGTAGAAAAACTTGTACTTGAAGAATGAAATGAAACATGAGGAGCAGAAGAGGAATGCTGCTGGACAAAGTATAAATCACCACTCTCGTTACCAACCAGCAGCAAACTCTTTTTCATAGGATTCTGAATTAAACAATGAGAAGAATAAAAGACAAAGGAACAAGACAATTGAGTGACCAACTTCTGAACAGAAAGAAGGTTATAGTTGAAATCTGGGACATGTAAAAAACATCAAGCAATTCTATCCCATTTTGTAAAAGAACATTCCCTATTTGCAAGGCATTGGCTTTTTTTTCTAGTAAGAATGGTAATTAAACAAGGTTTAGGGACTGACTTGTATGAAGAAAAATTGTTTAGGTGAGGAGTCATATGATCTGAGGCTCCACTGTCAATAATCCACTGAGTTTTATTGCTAGAAGAAAGAAAACAAGAGCCAATACCCATCAAATGAGCACTGGAAGCCAAATGTGTTAAAAGAAATTCAGGTGTAGATCTTCCTCCATCATCATGAGAACAATCTGCTCAACATTTCCAGAAGCTGACTATACTGGGAAGTTATAAGAGACACTGGTAGATCATTGGAGGTAGAAGCATGATCTGGCTCATTTCTTCTCCTTCTTTAGTAAAAACATGGCTAGCTATCTTTTGTGCTTGAGCATGATTTCGATCTCCTCCTGACTGATTTCTTTTAAGCTTGGGATAACCATGTATCTTGAACCATCTCTCAATGGAATGCCCATACACCTTGCAATGCTGACAAAAGAATTTGGTTTTTCTTCTACTTGGTGTAGTACCAAAAATAGGTCTGTTATTGTGAGATTTTCTTCCTTTTGAGTTTCATCTTGAGTGATCAATTTGTAAGCTTGATTTAGGTTACGAAGAGGTCTCATCATCAAGATGTTTCCTCTTGCAATTTTGTAAGTATCACTGAGCCCCATGAGGAATCGCATCAGCTGTTGATTCTAGAGTAATTTGAAAAAGCTTCCTTCAAAATCACATTTGCAATTAGGAAGTTTCACCATGGTTAAATAGACGTCCCACAATCCTTTCAATTTTGTAAAGTACTTAGACACGGAATCGGTTCCTTGGACTAGCGTAACCATTTCTTTATGCAATTGAAATAACCTGAGAGCATTGCCTTGACTGAAACTTTTCGAGAGATCTTTCCAGATTTCCTATGCAGATTCACAATACAGAATGCTACTTGCGATTGCAGGTTCAGCATAATGCAAAATCCAATAGATCACTAGATTGTCACATCGATTCCATTGTGAAAGCATGGGAGAATCTGTTGCTGGTTTCTTGCACGTTCCAGTCGTAAAACCTAATTTTTTCCTTGCAGTCATAGCGAATTTTGCATACCTTTTCCATTGAGAGAAATTTTTGCCGTTCAATTTGTGAGTAAAAAAAGGTTGGTCGAAGTACGCACGGAAGAGATTCTTGCCATGGATGCGTAAAAAAAGCTCGGAAAAGAAGAATTGATCAATGAACAGTAATCGATCCTCAAAAGTGATTCAGAATTTCGATCACCATTATTGACATGGCTCCGATACCATGTTAAAACTTCAGAGAATCAAGAGAGATATGAAGAAGAAGAACAAATCTTATTATGGGAATGGAAACCTCTGGTCTATTACATGCAAAAGGACTACCTATACTATACATGTGCAGCCAACGAAAAACAAACTCAGCAAAAGAAAAGCAACAGAAATTAGTTACAAATTACAACTGGAAAGTGTACAGCTGGCATTTATGGCACTCTTCTTCACAAGTACTACGTAATAAAGATGAATAAATAATTTGATTACGCTTTGATGATCTTCAAAAATAATCATATGTTTCAATATTGTTATGAATACTATTTCATACAAAGTATGCATTGGTCTTTCATTAAAAGATCCGCACTCTTAGGTAGTTAACTATCCATTAATTTTTTTTTTTGAAAATTATGATTCAATACTGTTAAAAGAGTATCCCACATCGGAACTTGAAGGGAAAATAAACCGGTATATAAGCCCTTGAGTTGAACTAACTAATCGATTGGATTCAATTTTTTTAATGTGGTTCAACCCAAGTGTCTTATTGCCCCAATCCAGTTGTCCATACCCATCCTGAATTCTTATCATGGTATCAGAGCCAGTTTTAGCCCACCTCGTTTGTCAAGGTGTCCGTCTAGACGTTCATTCCTAGCGGCCCGTTAGTCTCTAGCCCAGTTGTCCGTATGGCGTGTGTATCCAACGGCCTGTGGCCCGTTTAACACGATTGCTCGTCTGGAAGTCCATATCCAGCGGCTCGTGGTCCTTTAGGTGTTGGCGCTCAAAAAAAAAATCGAGGGATGGGAGTCCATTTGCAAGTGGTCAACCGGTTAGATTCAAAATGGTCCAGTTGTCCACTTGAGGGGGAGTGTTAAAAGAGTATCCCACATCGGAACTTGAAGGGAAAATAAACCGGTATATAAGCCCTTGAGTTGAACTAACTAATCGATTGGATTCAATCTTTTAATGTGGTTCAACCCAAGTGTCTTATTGCCCCAATCCAGTTGTCCATACCCATCCTGAATTCTTATCAAATACCACTTTGAATAGGAACCAAAATTCAAAAAATGTGTAGTTCGAAGATGGAACATTAGACTACACCAGTCTTTGTCACTTCGTATTTTTTCTCTATATTTTATAAACAACACTCATGTACCTTACATTCAATAATAATATAGAAATAAGAGAATTGTACAATGAATAATCTGAAATGATGATAACTTGTGATAAGTAAGGTAGCCATTGGTGACAAGTGGACGACAATGAATAGTTATTAGGGCAAGTAGTGGGCAGTAAATGGCTCGCAATGTTGAGTGGAGGTGGGCCATCAGGATGACCGGCAACTAGCGGATTGTCGGAAGACGAGGTGAACATCCACGGTCAGTGATCAACAATAACAGTCGGTGATGGATGGAGTTATCAGTGGTAATGGCCAACCGTTGAAGGAGATGCCAACATTTTCATATTGTTGTTCCTCAAATTTGAGAATGGTCAAAACGCTACAACTTAAGGCTTTGTTTGGGAATAGCGTTTTCGATTAGCGTTAACGTTTTGGATAAAATTTTGATGGTATAGATTAAATCCGAAAATACTAACTCTAAAGGTTACCGTTGGATAATTTTTTCAAAACGCTAACGCTAATAGCTAACGCTGATGCCAAACGGAGCCTAAATATTTGCGTACCACAACCCATTTTAAAAAACCAGTTTACCATATCGGCCCGCTCCAAGAATCTCATGGTTTAAGGAGGGTTTAGATTTATCCGGCGCAGTCTTTGTAATCATCGTGGACCTCCCTGGCCTCTTTCTTTCTATCCATACATCCATGATCTATATATCTTTCACCTTCAGGCTTTCAGCCCAGTTTCTGTTCTTTCTTTCTTCACCATTTTCCTTCTCCCATTTGCTCCCATCCTTTTCATTTATTAAATGTCCAGCACCGTAGCCCCTCTCTCTCTATCCCTTCACTTTAATCAATCCATCGATAAACCCTCCGCCATAGCCTTGAACCCTCGTAGCAGCAGCAGCAGCAGTAGTTCTCCCGTTATGTGGAGAAACGCATCCAGGCAGATCTCTTCTAAAGCCTCGCACAATAAATTCTCTCTCAACTTCGGCAATCCTTGTCATCTTCGCACCTGCAGGTTTATTGGGTTTTCCAAAGATTCGATTTTTCCGGAGAATTTATTAGAATTGAAGTCACTCGTTCCCATTTCTTGCTCGAAGAATGGCTCCACGGGATTGGGTTTCTGTAAGATTGCCAGGTTTCTGCCCCGTGATGATTTTCTGAGCAGACCCGGTTTTCCCAGCACCCAATTTTCCTCCAAGAGCTTTGCTAGTGTGGCCGAAGCTGTTGAGATTTTCTCCAGTGAGACTGAAGAAAGTGCGCCTGCAGTAGCTAATGAGGTTGAGGTATTGGTGGCAGAGATGAGAAGGGAAGATTTGAACAAGTTAAATGAGTTTAGGAGAAAGCAGACTATGTCCAGAGGAATGGGGGTATGGAAGTATGTCGCCCTTAAGAGAAGACAGGTAAAGATTGAGACTGAGGCATGGGAGAAAGCTACCAAGGAGTACAGGGAACTTCTGGAGGATATGTGTGCTCATAACCTGGCTCCTAATTTGCCATACATGAAATCACTCTTTCTTGGATGGTTTGAGCCGTTGTGTAAAAGAATTTCTGAAGAACAGCAGCTTTATCGGGAGGGATCATCAAGAGCAGAGCATTTGAAATACATTGATCAGTTACCTGCAGATATGATAGCAGTTATAACAATGCATAAGGTAATGGGGTCATTGATGGCTGGCGGTGAACATGGCTCTGCAAAGCTGGTGCATGTTGCAAATGCGCTGGGAGATGCAATCGAACAGGAGGTTGGCCTTTTTACTTAATTAAAAATGAATTTGAAATCTTTCTTGGTCATTTACCACCTACTAATTAGCCCCTCCTTTCCTATCAGGTTAGAATACACAGACTTTTGAAGAGAAAAAAACAGACAAAAGGTAGTAAAGATACAAATAAAAGTATTAATGTCAACGGAGATACAAGTATGGAAGAAGAGCCTAATGGTGTTGCAGAAGACGAACAAAATCTTCAGAGGAAAGTCACTAATTTGATAAAGAAGAACAATCTACGAGCAGTGAGACGAGTACTGGATAGCCAAGATCACTTGAAGCACTGGGAACCAAATGTTAAGGTTAAGGTAAAGTTATACGCATATATTCATCTCCTGTCACTACAGAGGTTAATTATCTGGCTCTATAGATTTATTTAGATTTCTATATGTTGCTTCAGGTTGGAAGCCATTTGGTTGAGTTGATTTTGCAAACAGCCTATATTCAGCCACAGACCGAAGAGTTATCTGATGGTCCACCAGATGTTCGACCTGCATTCGTTCATACATCTAAGACTGTCTCTAACCAAGCAAAGTAGCATTCTTTATATTTCTTTATCGTTATATTCATATTTTGTTTCATTTATTAAACTCCTCATGATGCTCTAAATTTCTGTTAAAGGGGCCCTAGCAGAAGATATGGTGTGATACAATGCGACCCATCGGTTCTCAAAGGTCTTGAAAGATCTGTGAGTAAATCAACTTGATCAGCTAGTAGGTGCAATGCTGGGACTCTTTTACTCATGAATTTTAATGTGCAACAGTGCATCAAATACTTTTATGAGTAGCTAATGGGATTTATATGCATTTAAAAAAGTGATTTGTGCATGCTTCCAGCAGTTGCTACAAGACATTTTGATATTTATTTCACCACCTCATGCACTTGTGCTCCATTATATTATTTGTTATTGCAAGCAGGCCCGACACATGGTGATTCCTTACATGCCAATGCTAATTCCTCCCATCAAGTGGAAAGGGTACATGCAAATTTTTTTTCCATCTGAAAATGTTACAATTCGCGCTTTGTACCATCATCTTCTTTCCTTCAAGCAACTCTTTTTATGCTGAATATAATTAGTTCTGCTTATAAACATTTCTCTGTAGTTATGACAAGGGTGCACACCTTTATTTGCCTTCATATGTCATGCGGACACATGGAGCAAGACAACAAAGAGAAGCTTTGAAGAGAGCCCCTAGGAAGCAGCTAGAATCTGTCTATGAGGTTTCAAAACAACTTTTTCTTGAAAATCAGCTTCAGGTGTCCAATATTACCTATTTAATTTGACACTTAGACCTTAAAATTTATTATTTTTTCTTTTGTCTAGGCACTAGATACACTTGGAAGTACCAGGTGGAGAATAAATAAGAGAGTACTCTCTGTTGTTGATAGAATATGGTCTAGTGGTGGTCGTCTTGCTGGTCTAGTTAGCCGTGATGATGTGAGTAGCTCTCTTAAAACTCGATCTTTTATAATTTCTGTAAGATGTAGCTTGTAATATGTTATGTTCAAGTTTAGAAGGACACCTCTGGAATTATTCTTGTATTTGCCACCCTTTTGCAGATCCCTTTGCCAGACCAACCAGACAGTGAAGATGAAACAGTACTTAAAAAGTGGAAGTGGAAAGTTGGGACAATCAAGAAAGAGAACAGAGAAAGGCATTCACAGCGATGCGATATAGAGCTCAAACTTGCTGTAGGATTCAATAACCGTTTCTGTTGTCGTTAATCTTTATCACGCGTGCTATCCAACTAAGCTTGACACATTACAGGTAGCACACAAAATGAAAGATGAAGAAGGTTTCTTTTACCCACACAATCTTGATTTCCGTGGCCGTGCATATCCTATGCATGCACACCTAAACCATCTGGGCTCTGATATCTGTCGAGGAGTGTTGGAGTTTGGTGAAGGACGCCCTCTTGGGAAGTCAGGCCTGCGTTGGCTAAAGATACACTTGGCCAATTTATATGCTTGTGGTGTTGATAAATTATCTCTTGATGGTCGGATTGCATTCACTGAAAATCATGTGGATGATATATTTGATTCAGCTGACAAACCACTAGAGGGAAAGCGCTGGTGGCTGAAAGCAGAGGATCCATTCCAGTGTTTAGCAGCATGTATTAATCTCGCCGAAGCGCTTAGAAGCACATCCCCTGAGACGACCATTTCACATGTTCCAGTGCACCAGGTGTTATTTTCAATTTGAATTTTATCAGAACTGTGTACTGTGTTTCAATCCTATATGTATATTTGGAAATGATGACCAAACCGGAATGCAACTATTGACAATAAATTATTTGCCCTGAATCAATATTTTGTTACAAAAGATGTGTCAAAATAATACGGAGTAACATTTACACTGTCCTGTTTCAGTGTTTTGGGATCTCATAATGTTGACCGTATCACAATTGACAACACCAATAAAAACAAACCCAATAAAATCCCACAAAGTCGGGTCCGAGGAGGATGTGTGTAGATCTTACCCTTGCTTTAAGGTAGGGAAACTTTTCCAAGAGATTCCTGACTCAGATACAGAAGCAAAAACAAAGTAAGATAATAACACAGTTAAATTAAGAGCATAGAGACAAGAAGCAAACATACAGACACTTCAATTCAACCCAAAGCACAGAAAACACACATCACAAGCTACAGACCTAAAGTAGAAATGCACCGGCAAAACTACAAAATAAGGTGCAAAGGTCTACTCAATTACTCCAGTCCTAGAACTTTAGATGTTACTATCTAAGGCCATTTCAATGATAAAATACTTATGTTGCAAGTCATGTCTAATCACCTTCTTCTAACTCTTCTTAGGTCTACCTCTACGTCTTCTCACATCCACTACAACATTCCTCTCGCATCTTCTCATTGGTCCTCTGCACGTCCCCTCTTTATGTGCCCAAACAACATTAACCTAGCTTATTGCAGCTTATCGTTCACTATTGACAGCTGAATATTCTTTTATTATATTTGAAAGATGTGTTTGGCTTTCTAAATTGAGGTTGTTCTTATGCACTATTTAAATTATCTAATATAATAGAATAAACACAATACAGTAATAGTTTTTCAGAAGATAACAAAAAATACCCTTACTTAAGTTGTTTATCCAAACACTCAAACAGGCCTTAGTTTCTTTTCAAGAATTTTTTAAAAATAGATAAAAATAATCTGAGCATCTTTTAACCAGTTCACTTTGGCTTTTCTCAGGATGGTTCTTGCAATGGTCTGCAACACTATGCTGCCCTTGGAAGAGATCAAGTATGAAAAAATTTCATAGATTAATAATTATGGAAATGCCTTTTTCATTTCACGAAAGCTGTTTTTCTCCTTCAAAGCAGTTCCTATTTAAATTTCCTATTCTTAGTATAATTAGCTTTTCTGTGTTTGCTATATTCATAGTCCTCTGTAATCTTTTGTTCAGTTAGGAGCAGTTACTGTGAATCTGGTTGCAGGAGAAAAACCTGCTGATGTTTACTCAGGCATAGCAGCTAGGTAATCTGATTTTCAGAACTGTGTTTCTTTTTGCATTTGTTTGTGGTTTCTATATAACTAAACAAAGAGCATTGACTATTGTGGACCTGCTTCTAAGGATATCGGGTTTTATAGAGATGAGCAAAAGTAACAGGATCTAAAAAATAGACCAGGACTGGATAGGGGAAGACTAGGACCAGACGAGGAACGATTTGACTAGTGGTAAAAGAGCAGCGTGTAAATTTAAACAAATACAAATCTATATACCTATTATTCATTATATTAGTATGGCATTTTATATTATTCTTTATAAGTTATAACTATATAAATCCAAAATAGGCAAATAAAGATCATAAAGTTTGATCATGTAATTAGTAAGCCTGAATTTTTTTTAATGAATGGAGGGAGTAGCTCTTAAAAAATGATTTGTTACAAAATAAAAAAATGAAATAAAAAAATAGTATCAGCCAAGGACCTATCTAAACCTGAGTACCTGGTCCAAACGAGTCTTCTTATTTTCTTTGAAAACAGAACCGTTTTGGACTGCTTATTGAAAATCATTAGAACAAACCTATATAGTACGGGTCTTTCTGAAAGACCCATGTACCGGCCTGTCCAACCAAACCACTCCTTATGCTCATATTTAGTTTCATACTCCCTCCATCCTCAAGTTATCTTTCCGGTTTGACTAGACACTATTGTTAAGATATTGAAAGTATGTGATTGCAGATGATTTAGAATTGAGAAAAGTATGAACCACACAATCATTTCCTTTTAAGAAAATGGAAGTAAATTTTAAGACAACCCAAAAAAAAGTGAGAAGAAAATGTATGAGAGAGGGTGTATTTGGTTACTACCATTGACAAGCTTGGCAGCTAGCCTCACTTGTGCTTTAAATCTAGGAGGATATCCTCACATCATTACTGATGAATAAATTTTTTTAATAATTTTTTGGAAATTTTCCTCATACAGAGTTCTGGATATCATGAAGAGAGATGCACTGGAAGATCCTGATGAATTTCCAGATGCATTACATGCCAGGCGCCTAATTAATCAGGTTTGAGATCTCTATCCTACTTTTTAAAATTTGCCCTTCTAATTTTCATTTTAGAGCAAACATACAGATGGAGTTCATACTTGGGAATCGAATAACTCAAGAAGGACGTAATGCACACGAGCATAATCACACCATAAACCAATTTACAACAAGAACAAACCCATTAAAATCCCACAAAAAGTAGGGTCTGGGGAGAGTATATGCACAAACTTTACCCTACTCGAAAGTAGATGAACTGTTTCCAAAAGATCTTTGCCTCAAACACAGAAGCACATGCATAGTAGCACAAACAAAGTAATAACACAGAGACAAGAAGTGTTCATACAGAATTACAGACACTAGCAACTAGACCCAAAACACAAAAGGCACATGCACAAGCTACTGAGTACTGACTAAGGTGTAAATGCGCCACAAACTAAGGCCCAAAGGTCTACACTGTAGACCAATATGTTTCTCTTTAATGTTTCAATGTGGGACTCTTAACCAATGTCATTTTGTTGGTAGTAGAGCAATTGATGAAAATACTGTGTTAAAACTTAAAAGCTCATACTTCACTGCAGACACATATCTTATTCTTTTCTGTGGGTTCTAATAATTGATGGAATTATTGGGTGCTGTTTAGGTGGATAGGAAACTGGTGAAGCAAACGGTGATGACATCAGTTTATGGCGTCACATATATCGGTGCCCGAAATCAAATCAAGAGGAGACTAAAAGAGCGTGGGGTGATTGAAGACGACTCTGAACTTTTTGGTGCAGCCTGTTATGGTGCAAAAGTAAGTGCGAGTTTGAACATATTGTGTTTAGAATAATTAATGTGAAGTACTTTTATAAAATTATTACCTTTTTCTCCCTGGTCCGTTTCATTATTGGCGATGAATTTGCTCCTTGAATTCAATCAACAACAAACCCAATAAAATCTCTGAAAAATTAGGGTGGTCTGGAAAGGGTATGTGACTATGTGTACACTTGCCTTACTCCTACACACAAATAGAGAGGCTATATCCAATAGAGCCTTGACTCAAAGACCGAAGCAGACAATTCAATCAAATACATGAGATTTTTTACCACAAGCTTGGTTGTTGCGAATTTAATAAAGCCATCCTTAACAGTTTATGGCCACTGAACAATTTTTCTTGAGAACCACGTTTAATTTTTTTCCTTTTCTGATTAATTAGGTCACATTAACTGCACTCGGGGAGATGTTTGAAGCTGCACGCGGTATCATGGGTTGGCTTGGAGATTGTGCGAAGGTTTTCACTTTATATTTTATCATGGCATCATTTTTCCTAAACCTACACTGTCTATTTTATGCCATGTGTATATCCTGCTCTTCTATCTCTAATTGATTTTTCATTAAAAAAATTAGCATGACATGTTTGGTTTGCAACTGCTGAGGGATAATGAATATGCGTAACTAATATTGAATGTTTTGAATAGTAAAAAACACATTAAAATGTAACATTTCTAAAATATGCAGAAATCCAAAGTTTTATTCACGGCCCCTTGATTGCACATCCCTCCTATATATTTTTAATGTTTCGTACCTTCATTTTTTTTAGTTTTGCAATTTCATGTTTTTTAGCCACAATGTTTTTTGACAGATAATTGCTTCTGAAAACCAACCAGTTCGATGGACAACTCCCCTTGGTCTTCCAGTTGTGCAGCCTTACCGCAAGCTTGGAAGCCGCCTTGTATGCGCAATTCTGTTATAACAATGTGTTTTTTTAATGCCCGTTTTGTTCTTAAAACCCTGCAATTCACCTCTCTCTCACACACTGTTTTGCATGCAGGTTAAAACTTCTCTTCAGGTGTTAACATTGCAACGAGAAACCGAAACGGTGCATTTTCTTTCTTTTTATGAACATCAAAGTAGCAGACTAAATCACCAAGTTTCTATACACTCCAATTTGAGATCGAAGTCGAGAATTTCTCTTAATAATGTCAATTGTTCATCTATCTACGGAAATATACAACTAAAGCATCCAATTTCTATACTCTTTCTTCAGATCATGGTCAAGAGGCAGAGAACGGCTTTTCCTCCCAATTTTGTTCATTCTCTTGATGGTTCACATATGATGATGACTGCAGTTGCATGCAAAAGGGCCGGCTTGAGATTTGCAGGTGCCATCTGATGTTTCATTTTCTCTACCACCTCATTTGATCTCTTATGGCCTCTTCTAAAACAACAAACCCAGTAAAATTACACAAAAAGTAGGGTCAGGAAAGGGTGTGTGTACAGACTTTACCCCTACCATGAAGTAGAGGGGCTCTTCTAAAACACACAACATTACTTTAGTATTATTTTTCTGCAGGAGTTCATGACTCGTACTGGACGCATGCATGTGATGTGGACGAGATGAGCAAGATTCTACGGGAGAAATTCGTCGAGCTTTATGAAAAACCCATACTAGAAGATGTAAGTGCATCATTCTATATATTCACAGACCACCCGTATGCCAAAAAAAGGAATCGTGTTTGATAAAGGGTACAAGTTTTTAATTCTTGCTAGGCACAACACAAACATATTCGGTAAACTACATTAAAAATTAATTCCATTAAATCAAATATGAGAAATTATACCATAAGAAATTATACCATACATCTGACCATACCTACTTTTCTGTACATCTAACTCGCAAGTGTGCGATTGTACATACACTATGCTAATTTTATTAACATGCATGGTCCGAGTATGTGAAAAAAATGTATTCTCTGCATTTTGATTTTTATCCTTTCATGGATTAGAAGTGTTATTAGCAACAAAATGAAAAGTTCTTTTAACATTGAAATGAGCATTGTGCAATTATTAAGTGTTATACATCAATTTTATAATGTTCATTTGCAAAAATAAAAAATAAATGTGAAATGAGAATCTTTTCACATTTTATGCTTTGAATGATTCTTCAACAGCTATTGGAGAGCTTTCAACAGTCGTTCCCTACATTATCTTTTCCACCATTGCCCGAACGAGGGGACTTTGATCTGAAAGATGTCCTCGGATCTCCATACTTCTTCAACTGATTATTGCTCTCGGGCTCGTGTGCGAAAAACCCAAAATATGGCCCGAAGGTGACGTGGGACCCGTCTCTCTGTATATATGTGAGCCGAAGAAAGGGCTTTGTTGGGCAGACAGACGTCTCGAGTACACATGCACGCAGGGATTGATTAGGAAAGTGCCCTACAGTTGTGAGGTATGAAGTTTTGAGGGATTAGTATATTTGGAGAGATAAATGCCCTTATAGTCACTGTTTATCTTGAGATACTGCCCTATAGTTACCAATTCTGCCACTGAAAATGCCAGTTTGAGTTTTCCTGATGTAAATGTTCTAGGTGTGTTTGTTTCAAGTCTCTTTTAGATTATTTTATAGTGTCGAAGCTGTAATTTTTTTTAACCATTAGTCACGTCATTACTTGATTTAAATAGAGCTTTTTGAATTAATTTCTTGATATGTATACATTAAATTGTTAATACAAAATATTTATAGTAGTCCACAGTTTGATTTGAGAAATAAATCTTCAGCCTTGCGGCGTTTGCCGCCTTAGTATGACATTGTCAGGCAATGTAATGAAAACCGTCCCATGGAACTTTTTTTTGCACAAACAAAGCTTTCACAAACAATAACAAAGCACTCAAACCGCATGTTTATTGTTTACAAAATTAAATTTTATTTATTTTTTCTATTTTTGTTATTCATTTGAGAAAAATAATCGGCCTGCTTGGGAATATTGTTAAAGGTTAGCGTTAGCGTTTTGAAAATGCTATCTACGGGGAGTACTTAGCGTTAACGTTTTTAAAATAATCTACACTGTTGAAATTTTATTCAAAAAGTTTAACATTAATTTCTAACGCTATTCTCAAAAAAGCCTAATGTAGTTATGCCATCTCTTGTTTCGTAGAACTTTTGATGTAGTTTTTCAGAGTAATATGTAAATGTTATTTTGTAATTTTATCCCAATTTTTAAATAAATTGTATTGAAAAAAAAACTTCAATCAAACCTCGTAAAATTAAACATGTGATTTAAATTAGGATGGAAGACGTACTTAGAACTCTTATGTATTCCCTCCGACTTCCGTCCCAAATTTGATTACAAATTAAAATTTAAGAGATAATATATTCTATCTTTTGAAGTCATTTTATTTACAAAATTGATAAAAAATAAAAATTACGTAGTACATATTAAAAAATTATGTCAAAAGTTTTACAAAATAAGTGTTGATAAGAATAATTTATTGTATTAAATAATCAATAAAAGTACACAAATAAACAAAAGTTATCGAAATGGGAAAAAATTATAATCAAAATTGGGAGAGGGAGTATTTTTGTACTATTGAGACACTTGAGGGTACTGTTGGTTATGCTTTCATATTTAATCAGGTCTAATTCCCACCAAAATCAGTCACTAATAGTGTGGACAAAAAAGGTGTTTCATTAATAATTGCTAAAAATGTCCCCTCTCTATTTTTTAAGTGCTCATTATAACTTTATTAGTAAGGAGTAGATTATAAGTTAAAGAAATATAACTAGTGGGATATATATTATGTCTATTTTCACTCATTTTAATGTGTCGTGAAAAAAATATTTTCAGTCTTAAAATGAAAATCAATATTGTTATATGATTTTTTTATTTTCTAGATCCTTTAATATAATTTATAAATAAACTTGGGGCAATTTTATTTTCTATTTCTAAATTTATTTTAAAATAAAATCAGTTAAAACTAATTTAGCAAATAGTTAAAATAAAAAATCAAATACCATGTACTCCGTAAATATAGGTGATGAGGCCAATCCTTTTTGAGAAATTTACCTAAATAGGACTAAAACATAATGACTTTCTCAATATAAGACCATATGTTTTTATTTCTCAATGTAGGACTTTTGGTCATTATCAAGTAATCATTATTCAAGTAAATGTCCATCATTACTGGACATTATTCCCCACACGAGGTCATTATTAAGTCCTATTTAGGGAATAAAAAAGTTTAAGTCCTACATTGAGAAAGTCATTATGTTTTAGTCCTATTTAGTGCAAATTTTTTTGCAGTTGAAGGTGGAACCTATTGGAATAGTGCAGGCTAGATTAGTAGAGTAAAAGAAGGTAAATGCAACAACTATCTCAATATGGTTGAGAAAAAGTGTGGTCAAAATGTGTACTCGCTACTTTTTAGAATATTTGTTTATTTTTTACTTTTTTCGATCAAAATGAAAAATTTTTTGACCATAAGTTAAATAAAATTAATATTAAATTTTGATACAAAAATAATTACTTCCTCCGTCCACAAATAAATTTCTCATTCACTATTCACAGGGTCAAACTTTATTACTTTGTTGGCCTATTTTCGTCACCTATTTGATAAAATAATATAGTCATGTCACCTCTAGTTTTGTAGATCTTTTGATAAAATTTATAAATATGTAATTTTTGTTTTTAAATTTTACACTATTTTTCATATAAAATGATTTGAAAATAACTCCAGTCAAACATCGTAACGCGCAACGGGAAGTTTATTTGTGCACGGAGGAAGTATATTAGATTATTAGAATCATTTTATGAAATATTTTCAAAATATTATTTTATCTAATTAATATACAATATACATATTATTTCATAGGTCAAAAGTTAAAGGTTATTAGCTACCCCCCTATTGGTTACAAATTAGAATTTACGAGGTAAAACTCCATATTTTTTGAAATCATTTTATTTACAAATTGTTACATCAATAAAAATTGCATATTAAAAAATCAATCTCAAAAATTTTACAAAATAAGAAGTGACAAATATATTTTATTTTAACAAAAAATAAATGAAAATCCATAAATAAACAAAAGTTATCGAGAAAAAAAAAAGTTATAAACGAAATTAGAACGGATGAAATATAAAAAGTGAAAATTGAATAAATACAAATAGAGTCAGTATTAATCATAATTCAAACTCCGATTTACCCTAGACATTACCATTTCACGCCCCCGTTACGCCTCAGTCAACCTTAGTTGTCATCCATTCGTGCGTTTGCTGTTTCTTTCAACGTAACGTTTGTCACTTTCCAATATGAAAAATGCTAGGGGTACATCAAATGGTGTACTCCATTTGTCCCTCACACCCTCCATAACCATACAAAAAGATAAGAGACTAAAAAAAATTATATAAATAAAATAAAATAAAATTGAGTGGTAGAAAGATGGGTGGGGGACAAATGAGGTACACTAAAGGTGTACCTCTAGCATTGCTCTTCCAACATTTTTACTCCCACCTGAGAATCCAAATTAATTAAAATTACTCTTTCCAGGCGTGCATTTATTTAAAAAAAATCATTTGGTCTTCTGTACCCCATTCACATGACCTCTAAAAACCCTCCTATAATTTCACCCTTTTATTTCAATACTCCCTCTATTCCAAAATATTTATAACATTTGCTTTTTCAACGTTTTCATTGGTTATTTAATAAAATAAAATATTTTTGACACCTCTTATTTCAAAGAACTTTTAATTTAGTTTTTTGATATGTAAATTTTATTTTTTATTTCTATACTAATATGTAAATAAAATGAATTGAAAAAACTTAATATTTTACCTCGGAATATAAGTGTGATAAATATTTAAAAACAGAGAAAGTACTACGTACTCCTTCCGTCCCAAATTATTTTCCACATTTGCTTTTTCAACAGTCGCGGAAACTTTTGTTTATTTCTACGTTTTCATTGATTATTTGATAAAATAAAATAATATTGACACCTCTTATTTCGAAGAACTTTTCATGTAGTTTTTTTGATATGTAATTTTTGTTTTTTATTTCTTTACCTATGTAAATAAAATGAATTGAAAAAACTTGATATTTTGCATCGGTAATAAAAATGTGACAAATAATTTGGGACGAAAAGAGTATTAAGTATCACTAATTCACTGTGTCTATTTTTGTCTTGATATGTAACCCAAGTAGGGTCTCTGTTTTAGGAGTAGAATAACCAGTGCTGTAGAGAGTGTCTTCTCATGGATCATATCATGATTGATCGGACTCCGACCGGGATTAATTAGCAACTGTTTTGTACACTGTTCAACAACGACCATACAACTTTTGCATGTCTAACTTCATCAATCTCTAAATTTCTCTTTAAGATCATAGGGAGTAGTTTTGTGTGTCATTTGCCTCTAAATCTTTAAAAATTGTGTGAATTTTTCTTAAATTTTAAAAATTTTATAGTAACCTCTTAATATTTAAAAATGTTAGGTCAATAATTTCTCTGTACCTGATCTAAGATTGTTTTAATCACACGACGTTGAGTGCAAATATAGAGTCAATTTAAAGTCTAACTTTTGGCAACTTTTCCCATTTTTCCAATTTCTTTTAATTGTTTCTAACTTCTTCCAATATTTCTAATTTTTTAATCCCATCAACTTATATAATTCTAAAATTCCTATCCAAAAGAGCAAGTTCTAAGTATTCATAAAGAGTATAAAATCTAGATAAAATAGAAATAAGTTTTGATTTTTTGAAGCACACAAGTTTGACATATATGGAATGAGACAAAGGGGAAAAGGTGTTGAGAGAGACAATGGTAAAAAACAAAGATAATGAGACGAGAAGGATAATATATTTTATTGTATTTAAAATAAGACAAATTTTTCTACAGATCTAAGTTTCATACTCATTTTATGAACTTTACTATATACGGAGTATATAAACACCCACGAATGAAGTGAGTTTTTTTGAAAAAAAGTAAAAGATTCACATGTCAACCCATCAAAAGTGTGAAAAAATCCACACTTCACATAAAGAGCTTAGGATTATGAAAGCATAACTCTTAGAATAAATTATAATTTATTTTTAATATTTTACTCTCTCCGTCCTTAAATTATCATCATCTTTACTTTTTGAGGCATTTGATATATAATTTTTGTATGCGCATGTAGTTTCATTGATTATTTGATAAAATAAAACATGCATACATATCACATTTGTTTTGTAGATCTTTTTATATAATTTTTAAATATGTAAGTTTATTAATTTTTATTTTTATATTAAAGTAAAATAAAATAAATTTAAAAAGATTAAATTTTGCATGTTGTTGTAAAGAATAGGATAATTCAAAGAGGGGGAAGTAACAAATAAGAGTACACAAACAAAATGTTTATAAATTTACAAACTTGTAAAGTAATATATTGAAATAATGATCTCAAATAATTTAATAATTAAAATTAAAATATAGGGAGTACAAAAAATAAGTTTGTGTATTTTATGTCTGTTGGGAGGTTCCTCGTCTTATATAAATGGATAGGAGCTAATTTCTTGAAGCCTCCCCCCAAACACGGCCTTAAACAATGCAAACCTCCGACATCACGCGCCTCCCCCACGCCGACGCCGACCCAACCTCCCACCACCGCTCCGATCATCTTCATCATCTCCGGCCACCACCACCGGGCCCGCGGCGGGGGCTAGAAGACCCAAACGACGAGAGGAAAGAAAGGAGAATGATATCAAACCGGGAGTCGGCGAGGCGGTCCCGGATGCGGAAGCAAAGGCAGCTGCGTGAGCTCTGGTCGCACCTCCTCTGGCTCCGCGGTGAAAACCAGCTCCTCTGCCACCGGCTCGGCCGCCTCGCGGAGGGGTACCGGCGAACCGTTGCCGAGAATGCCCGGCTGAGGGAAGACGCCGCCGAGCTTCGGAAATTCCTCACTCTTGAAATGCATTGCTTGGACTCCCCTTTCCCCTAGTTTGGTCTCTTTTGTCCCCAGACCAACTCAACCAAAAACTTGTATATAGTTCTTTTTTTGGTTAAGAAATCAAATAAACTAAAGTTATATTTGTATGTGTAAGAACTTCTACATACTCCGTGTTTTGCAATTAAACAAGCTAAGGTTGATATAAGTCCACGAACAAGGAATAAATTTGCAGAGATACGTGAGGGTGATGAGGATGTCTTCTACTTCCTACATCTATGAGGATTTTCTCCAAATTTGATTTTTTACCGTTTATTATTCAAGTAAATGTCTACCATTACTAGACATTATTCCTCCTCCTAAACATTAATATGTGTCATTTAGAGAATAAAAAAGTTTAAATCCTACGTTGAGATCGAAATGACTTATGTTTTAGTACTATATACTGAAAATGCTTCTTATTTTTAATCTTTAACATATAATTAAATGATATATATAGAGTATATGATATACTCCGTATTAATTAGGTAAAAATATTTTATAATATAAATCTAATAATCCTAAAAATATTTTTGTATTATATTTGATACTCCCTTCATCTTCAAATCAACTTTCTTGTTGATTTTCATGGTCAAATATTTTGAAATTCAACCGCATAATACAAATAAAATACATTGATTTTTTCACGTAAATTTAATATCAATATATTCCTTCTAAAACATACTTTTGAAATATGTTATTTTTATAAAATTATTTATATAAAAATAGAGATATTAATGGGCAGTCAAAGTCTTGCATTAAACACAGTTAAAAATCAAATGAAAAATTAGTTTTAATGACAGAGAGAGTATCAATTTTATTCAATTTGAAGTCAAAGTTTATAAATTTTGATTGAAAATAATAAAAAATAATAGTCAATGACGGAAGTAGTATATTGATTGCTTATAAGTGGAAGATCTGTTGTACCTAGTTTTTCTTTTAAAGGAGGTATTATCATTGATAAAGAAGTCTATGTACACTGTAAGTGATTAGTACTCATTTACGAGTAATTAAATACTCATTTTCGAGCAATTAAATATTTATTTTTGGATAAAAATATGCTTATTTTTCTAAATTCAGTAATGCTCAAAAATAAGTACGTATTCAGTTAGTCAAAAAAGAATATTCAATTACTCGAAAATCGGTATTCAGGTAGATGTGCGAGAAATAATACCTTAGATTCAGAAGGTACACATATGTACTCGATAAAGAAAGGGAGTACAAGGGTACAACAAATTTGGGAGGGGCCATCCCATATATAGTGATATATCCCACAAAAAAAACCCCAAACTGCCCAAAAAGTAAAGTAAAATCAGGAAGCTAAAGTGTCAAAAAGATGAGAGAGCTGAGGGGTCATCTTCTTCCAATTCAATTCATTGTGCAACTGGATGACCATTTTTAAGATTTGACTTCACAAACTTTGAAATAAATTGTTGAAAAATGAAAATTGTATGTTTCATTTTTTTTTGAATAGAATGAATCAAAGTGTTCACATAATCTATATCTAATTTTCTTAAAAGAGAAAGTGGAGGAATACAAAGTTGATTCTTAGACACTCAAAAACCAAATATTCTCTTCGTTCTTAAATATTTGTTCACTTTTAACTTTTTTCAGTCAAATAAAATTATTGGTAGATTTTGATTTCTAATTAAATAAAAATAATGATACTATCTATTGATACAAAAATAATTTTATTAGATTTATTATATAAAATATTTTGAATGAGGAAGCGACGATAGAGTAGAACTACGGTAGTGAAGTCTGGAGGATGCAGTGAAGTGTGGAGGCATAGGTCTACGGTTGATGAAGGTGAATGAGTAGGAAAGTGTGAAGATTAAAGTTGGATGAAGAAAGCATACAATATACGTAGTATATCTTATTTAGTTAAAAGTCAAAGGTTGAGAACGCTTGTATGAAAAAGTCAAAATTAGACAAATAGAGATAGTATATATTTATTTATTTTTGCAGTTTTATTTTATTAGTTTTATTACAATATAATAGAGGACTTGTTTTGATACTTTTTAACCTTTTGAAAAATAAAAGTTCTTATCAACCTCTTCGGATGCTTGCCATGCGTGGAGATAGAATTTCATCTCTCTCACTGTGTCATTCCCGAGCTACTCTTTTTATTCCTCTTTTTTTTCTATTTTTGTTCGGATGAAGTACTTTTTAAATGAATTTATCAAGGAAGTATACTTTTTTCATGATAAATAAATAACTAAAATAATTTTAAATAATCAAAATGTATCAAAAAATGTAAGAAGTGACAAAAAATTATGGTTATTTTATTTTTTGTTTTATTTTTTCGCATAAAAAAAGTTTTTTTTAAAAAAAAGTAGAATTGAAGTATTTTTATGAAAAAAAGAAAAGTTAAATAATTTTGAGTATATAGAAATATTATTATGATAAAGTGAATATGTAAAATAACTTTAAATAATTCAAACATGACAAAAAATGAATAAAATAGTAATAAAAACAACGATTTGTCAATACAGGACATGCCACTTCATTCACTTACCACTCGCTAATAGGACTATTTTTCATTGATTGAAATATTCCACGCTAGCATGTAACATTCCATTTTTACTTTAGCAATGCTGGTATTCTCATTGACAATGATTCTTTCAATTCAAGTAGCTTTTGCCAATGTTCCGAGTTGAAAGTGAATTTGCAGGCTCACGTTTAGCCAATAATGACACTCAATAAATTTAGAATTAACCTGATTGTGCACCAAAAAATATACTTCAAATTATACAAATTTTTTTGATCACACTACATTTTATGTTAGTATAAACTATCAAAATGTTAGTGTATACCATTGATGTATACTTTAGACTACTCTCATTGGTATACCATATAATAAATTTATTCAATCATTTCATTTAGGACAAAGAACAAAGTTTGAGATAATTTAGGGGTACAAATGGAATATACAAAATGATGCACCCCTGGCATTATTAAATAACTTATGATACTAGAGGAAGGGACTCAACACTTTTGTGACTTCTCATATGATGATGGGCTGGAAACTCTAAGTCCAAGTCTTGAATAATGCAGCCCACGAGCCCCTTTTACGAATGGTTTCAACCCTATAAATTTAACAAGCCCCCTTTAAGAATTGGTTTGCTGGACATTGTAAGAAAATAATAATGAATACATATAATCTTATACGGAGTAATGAATAGAAATACAGAATCATAGTTAATAAATATTACGAGTATGTGATATGTAAAAATATTTTGGTGGAAAGGGATTTTTTTTAAAATATTTTTATTGTTAAGATTCCAAAATTGATATTTAAAAAATGTTCTAAAGATAATTTTAGACTATTTTAGCAACATGAGAGCAGGTGGTCTAGGGTGGGTGTCGGCACGAGGTAGAAGAAAGAAGGGATAGGCCGATTGGGGGTAGATGGTCGGGGTTGGCAAGTAGCGGAGGATGTTTGGATGGGGGATAAGGGGCAATTGGTGCAGCGGTCGACAGGTGGAGTGGGTGGTAGGGGTTGGGGCATGGGGGTGGCGGGGGACGACGGGAGTAGGAATTTTCTTTCGAAAGTAAAAAAAAAGTTATTTTTTTCTTTGCGAGAAAATATTTTTCTTCTGCCACTTGTGTTACCAAACACATAAAAAAATGGAATCAAATTTTTTGAGAACTTTTTTTCCCTACCAAACGGACCTTAGTACTCCATATTTTTTTTTGAATGGGCCGATAGTGAAGAAAATATTCGACAGTGGGCCACACATCTTCACATAGATTCACCGGGATAAAAAAAAAAGTTCGGGAAAACTCCCCACCGACGCGGGACTGGTATCTTTCTCTCAGCTTCACCCTTCAGATCTTCAATTCTCAGCTGACTCTCACTCGCCTCCAAATCCCATTCAATCGCACGCTCAAATCCTCATGTTTTGGGTTTAATTTTCGCATAATCCGCATATAGATTCGAGTGCTGGGGATACCCGCGCGGATCCACGTCGATTCCGGCCGTTTGATCCGTCGGAGAGATCTGGAATGGCGGTTGCAGTCCGCGGTGGCCGCGGTGCCGGCGGATCGGCACTTCGAAACTTCTTCTCCTACCGCGTCTTCGTCTCCGCCATGTTCACACTACTTATCGTCGCCACTCTATCTGTCCTCTTCTCCTCTCACCCCAATCACGGCGGCTCCGTATGTCTATATCTCTTTACATTTACTTTTTCCGATACCTGCATGTTCTGGATTTGTATACGCGGATCGTATTTCAGGAATTAATAATGGAATCAATTTACTTATGCTTCTAGCTAATTAAGAAGGTGCCTGATAACTGATATTGATCTTCCAAATATATAGACAATATTTTTCGTGTGAGCTCACTTATCAAATTTTTTCAATTTGGAATATGGTGGGGATCTGAGAAGAAGGGATTGAAGTTAAGGATGTGATTTTGGAACTTTAGTTTTGAGCCAATTCTTTGTATTTTCTATGCCTAAAATTATTTCTGATATGTTTATGTCATGATTTGCTATATGTTGGGCTTTGTGGAGGCTTGTTTCTCGGCCCGGCCCAGTTGTGCGTAGCCCTAGTTTTTCCCCTATATATAGAGGGCTTGTACGTGTAATCTGTACCACAAGTGAAATAAGAAAATCCTCCTGTTGCAGCCGTGGATTAGGGAAACCGAACCACGTTAAATTCTTGTGTGTCGTTTGTGTTCCGTTTCTCTTGTTTCTCACAGATATTTGTGTGTGTTGTGTGTTTATTTCCCAACAAGTGGTATCAGAGCCTCGTTGTACAACACGAAAGCGCAAATTGTGAGAAATTGTCACCTAGGGTTCTTGTGTGAAGAACCGTGTGGATCTAGATCGGGGGTGTGTGGCCGTTCAATTGAGGAGCGCCGCTGTGTAGGCTATTTGCGTAGTGGCAGAAGCTGCGATCCAGAGGAGGGACGCGCAGCAACGAAGAACCGCGCTGAGGAGCCGCTTCCGCCGTCAGCCGCGCAGGAGCAGCCGCAGAGCCGCCGCAGGTTGAGAAGCCGCCGCTGACCAGTCGCCGTCGAGGTCCCAGATCTCCGCCGCACGCAGGAGCAGCGGCAGAAGCAGCCGCCACCGCGTGGAAGAGCCGCCGCCATCGATAGCAGATCCTGAACCGCCGCCGTCCTCAGTCGCGCTGCTGGTTCGTGAAGGTCGCCGCCGCCGTCGTGTTTTGCCTTCGCCGAAAAAAAAAACAAAAGCAAAGGGGCTGTTTTTCTTGCTTTGCAGGTTCGGAGAAAAATAGGGAAAGGGATTTTGCTGGACCGAAGAAGAAAAAAAAGTTGGGCCGTGTGAGTTTTTTTGTTTTTTGGGCTGGCTATTTGTTTTGGACTGGTCTTAGTGGTGGACTTGACTTTCTGACGGAAAAAAAATACCAAGATCTGAAATATTTGTACCGGGTATCTCGTCTAGTCGTTTGATATGGCAGAAGATGGGAAGTTCCGAATTGAGAAGTTCGATGGTACAGATTTCAGTTGGTGGAAGATGCAAATTGAAGATTTGCTGGTTCAGAAAGATTTGGACGTGGTATTGGGTGACAAGCCAGAAAAGATGTCGGATGCAGATTGGGCAGGTTTGGATCGGAAAGCTATGTCCGTGATCCGTCTCTCGTTGACCAAGAATGTTGCGTTCAACATTCTGAAGGAGAAGACAGCAAAGGGAATTATGGATGCGTTGTCTAACATGTACGAGAAGCCATCTGCAGCGAATAAAGTTTTTCTGATTAGAGAACTGGTGAACACAAGAATGAAAGAAGGCACTTCAGTTACCGAGCATATCAACAAGTTGAATTCGATCTTAGCCAGACTATTGTCAGTGGGCATTAAGTTCGATGATGAAGTTCAAGCTTTGCTACTACTATCGTCTTTGCCTGATAGTTGGTCCGGAACGGTTACAGCGGTTACCGGTTCAGTGGGGACTGTTGGATTCACCTTTGATCAGATTCGAGATCTCGTTCTTGGCGAGGATGTCAGAAGAAAGAGTTCAGGGGAGTCATCTGGTGAATTGCTTCATGTTGGTAGAGGCAGAAGAAATAGCAGAGGTAGTGGGAGCAGGAACAGACGAAGGAGTCAGTCCAAGACTCGGGATTGCTCAGGTGTAACGTGCTGGAAATGCAAGGAGGTGGGGCATTTTAGGAATCAATGTCCGAATGACAAGAAAGTGAACATTGCTGAAGGCTGCACGAGTGATGAAGAGGTCCTTCTTACTTGTTGTGCGGAGAGCAGTGTGGATTCCTGGGTCATGGATTCTGGTGCTTCATTTCATGCCACCCACAGCGGTGAAGCATTGCAGAATCTGGTTATTGGGGACTTTGGAAAGGTACGACTAGCGGATGACAGTGCTCTTGAGGTGATGGGCATGGGTGACATGGTGTTGAAGACCTCAGTCGGTTTCTGGACTTTGAAGGATGTCAGAGTGGTTCCAGCCTTGAAGAAATGTTTGATTTCTGTCAGGCAGTTGGACGAACAGGGACACGAGGTGAAGTTCAGAGATGGGCAGTGGAAGGTCGTGAAGGGAAATCTTGTCATGGCCCGTGGAAAGAAGAGAGGTTCGTTGTACTTGGTCGAGTTACCATCTGAGGGAGTGACTGTCCCAGTTCAGAAGAGAAACAAAGTCCGGTCCAAAGAGTCTCGTGGGCAGAATAAGGTTGTCTATGCAAGAGAGAAACCTAGAGCCACAGGTCAGACTCAGGATGAACGAGCGTGGAAAGGTTCAAGGGGGCCAGTCAGAGGTATTTGTGGCAGTGGGAGCTCAAGAGGCGCTTCAGCCAAGTTGCCTAGAAGACAGTGGGTCAGAAGAACCAGTATTCCAGCTGTTGGAACATCTCCAGAAAATTTCTTGCTGAGTACGGAGATTGTTTGTTCTCGGGATGTTCCAGGATCTGGCAGTGTGCGTCTGCAGTGGGAGCCGGTAGGGACCGAGGACAAGTCAGTGGCAGATTTTGCCGTGACTGATGTGTTGGAGACTTGGAGCTTGGGAGAGCTTCAACGGGCCTTTCAGTTGTCTGATGATAGGGCCGCTGCAACAGGAGAGCTGAGAAAGATTACTCGATGTACAGGCGATCGTGGCGGATGGCAGTTGATGTTTATCAAGCCTCCAAGTGGGAGAATGTTGGGCTTTGTGGAGGCTTGTTTGTCGGCCCGGCCCAGTTGTGCGTAGCCCTAGTTTTTCCCCTATATATAGAGGGCTTGTACGTGTAATCTGTACCACAAGTGAAATAAGAAAATCCTCCTGTTGCAGCCGTGGATTAGGGAAACCGAACCACGTTAAATTCTTGTGTGTCGTTTGTGTTCCGTTTCTCTNGAGAGCTTCAACGGGCCTTTCAGTTGTCTGATGATAGGGCCGCTGCAACAGGAGAGCTGAGAAAGATTACTCGATGTACAGGCGATCGTGGCGGATGGCAGTTGATGTTTATCAAGCCTCCAAGTGGGAGAATGTTGGGCTTTGTGGAGGCTTGTTTGTCGGCCCGGCCCAGTTGTGCGTAGCCCTAGTTTTTCCCCTATATATAGAGGGCTTGTACGTGTAATCTGTACCACAAGTGAAATAAGAAAATCCTCCTGTTGCAGCCGTGGATTAGGGAAACCGAACCACGTTAAATTCTTGTGTGTCGTTTGTGTTCCGTTTCTCTTGTTTCTCACAGATATTTGTGTGTGTTGTGTGTTTATTTCCCAACATTATATAGTTAATTACAGAATCTTTCTTATACTGGTCTGTTTCTAAGTTGATGGATTTGTAATTAATGATGCTTTATTATAAACCTGCAAATGCAGACATCTGGTAATGTGATTGTGCACAGAACATTTCTGGCGTTGCAATCAGATCCCTTAAAGACTAGATTAGATTTAGTACATCAGCAAGCTAGTGATCATATGGCACTTGTGAATGTCTATGCGGCTTATGCAAGGAAACTCAAGCTTGAGATCTCTAAGCAGCTCAAATTGTTTGAAGAATTGGCTCAGACTTTCTCAGATCTTCAAATGAAACCAAATTACCAAACTGCTTTGTTTCAAACCGAAGGGCCTATGGATGAAGATGTTTTGAGACAGTTTGAGAAGGAGGTGAAGGATAAGATCAAGGTTACTAGGTCGATGATTACTGAAACGAAAGAGTCCTATGATAATCAGCTAAAAATTCAAAAGTTGAAGGATACAATCTTTGCAGTTAGTGAGTTGCTTCAGAAGGCTAAGAAAAATGGTGCTTTTGCCAGTTCGATTGCTGCTAAATCAACTCCAAAGAGCTTGCATTGTGTAGCTATGAGGCTTATGGGGGAGAGAATTGCCAACCCGGATAAGTACAGAGACGAGCCTCCTAAGCCCGAGTTTGAGGACCCCACTTTGTATCATTATGCAATTTTTTCTGATAATGTCATTGCAGTCTCTGTGGTGGTGAATTCAGTCATCAAAAATGCAAAGGAACCATGGAAACACGTTTTCCATATTGTTACTGACAAGATGAATTTGGCCGCCATAAAGGTCTGGTTTAGGATGAGGCCAATAGGTGGGGGTGCTCATATTGAAATAAAATCCATAGAGGATTTCAAATTCTTAACTTCTTCGTATGTTCCGGTGATCAGACAACTTGAGTCTGCGAGTTTGCAGAAGTTCTACTTCCAGAATACGGCAGAGAATGCAACTAAGGAAGTGAACAACATGAAATTCAGGAACCCCAAATATTTGTCGATATTGAATCACTTACGGTTTTATTTGCCAGAAATGTATCCAGACTTGCCCCGGATTTTGTTTTTGGACGATGATGTTGTGGTCCAAAAGGATTTGACAGCACTTTGGAATATTGATATGGGTGGGAAGGTAAATGGAGCCGTTGAGACCTGCTTTGGATCTTTTCACCGCTATGCCCAATACTTGAACTTCTCTCATCCTCTCATCCGCGAAAAGTTCAATCCCAAGGCATGTGCATGGGCATTTGGAATGAATATATTTGACCTTGATGGTTGGAGGCGTGAAAAATTGACTGAGCAGTATCATTATTGGCAAAACTTGGTGAGTGTTCTGTTATTTTTTTCAATCCGCTTCTCCATCCAAATAAACTTTACTTGTATTGATATATGGTTTTCCATTATTATATGTATTGTTGTTATTATTATTATTACTACTACTACTCCGTATTAAGTTAGTATTAAGTTTCCTTTTTGTATTGGTATTCTATTTTACTTCATACGAAGTATTATATGGTGCAATAGATTTAGGAATCTATTTGCTGTGTCCACCGAGATTTTGTAAGTATATATGATGTTAGAGTCTTGCTTTATATCTTCATGACGAGACTCATCCTTTGTTAGCCTCTGGCTCGGACAAGTCTGTCATATCCAAGTATCCAGCCACACTTGTAACAGAGCGGTGGACCTTCTTATTTGTTTTTCAGTTCACCTGTTATTACCAAAGATCTTTTCTTGTTATTTTAAATTGATTGTTTGTTGTAATTAGAATGAGGACAGAACCTTATGGAAGCTGGGAACGCTGCCGGCTGGGCTGATCACGTTCTACTCAACAACCAAATCATTGGATAGGTCATGGCATGTGCTTGGTCTTGGTTATAATCCGAGTGTTGGCATGGATGAAATCAACAGTGCTGCCGTTATCCATTTCAACGGGGACATGAAACCTTGGCTAGACATCGGCATGAATCAGTATAAGAATCTATGGACTAAATATGTGGACTCTGATATGGAATTTGTGCAGATGTGCAATTTTGGGATGTAGATGAGGTCTCTGTTTCCTCTTCTTCAACAATCAGGTAAGAAACTGAATTACACTCTATTCATCTGGAATAGTTGAAATTTTCATTTCCAAATTTCATTTATTACTAGTATATAACTGCCAGACCAAGATACCATTTTTTTTATTTTCCCACAGTAGGTCACTATAGCTCTCTTTGATGTTTTTGTTTTTGTTTGTGGCTAATGTATTACTTCACATTCTTGACTGAAGTCAGTTTCCATATCTTGACTTATATTATTGAGTTTTCCAAATTGACATCTCTACCTAACAGGAGCTGCAAGCATAAGTGTATAACAATGCTGCTAGCACTTGCAGAATATGAGTTCGTTCCAGTGTATTACAATCTCTTCAGATGACGGTGGGTCAAGAAAACCAAGATCTATATATATATATATATATATATATATATATATATATATATATATATGATTGCATATTTAGTCCTTTGAAAGTTTGGAGAAAAAACCGGTTGGGGACACTAATTATATACCCATTTCTCTTTGACAATATCCCCCCTTTTATGTGCTTTGCGGGATACTCTGAGGTATGTATTAATGTTACAGTTACCGTTAGGAGCCCATTTGATACACAGTTTTGATGGAAATGTCTGAAATTATTGGCATTGTGTGTGTAATTGTCCCAAAATCATTTAAACAATTGAAAACATACTTTCATCCATCAACTATGCACATAAATTCTACTTCATTTCTTATGAAACACGGAGCCAATAATAGTACTTTTCAACTCACTTTTCAACCAACCGGTAAACCTCATGTCATTTTCACATGGGTAGGTCTCTTTGGGACGAAGAGAGTACTTCATACTCCGTACATATAAAAAACAATGAGAATTGGGGTATTTTTTTAAACCAATTGATCTAGTTAAATTGGTGAAGTAAGTTGATGTTTGGTATTAAGAAAAAGTCATAAGTGCATTTAGAAGTTGTTCTTGGCAAAATGGGAGTGGGTATAGTATTTAGTTCGCACTGGATCGTATTTCGATTCATGATTTTCATTTCTATGGAAGTAACATTTTCATTAATGATTTTCACTACTTTTTGTGAGGCTATTGTGGCTAACCTTTAAAGATGTTCTTGTACATGTTCGGGTGGAGATAATGAAGTGCATTCGGTTCCGGAAAAAAAAACAAATAGTTCAAACAAGGGGAGCCTAAATTCTAATATTAAACCTCAATTGTTCGACAAGCCATGACTATGTCATGGTCATGTACCTTCACAAAATATGGTACAAAAGAATCCTTTGGTAATTGGTAATCATTGAGAGTTACAAATAGGCAATAATTTATTGATTGATGATATTCAAATCTATAGTTCTCGCCCCAAACAGGATGAAAATCGAATGAATTCTAACACCGTTACAAGGTTCACAACAATCTAAGCCATTCCAATACTCAAAAACTATATTTTGACATTGTCTTTATCACATTATTTCTCTAATCCACTATCACCCGCTAAACATTCACGTTGGATCAAACTTCAATCGATTTATATCGACTTAGATTCCGATTCGATTTAGTTTAGACTTGATTTCTTATTCGAGTTCAGATTAGATTTTCTTCGGATTTGAATTAAATAATTTTATTTCTGGTTTGCTTTGGACTCAGACCATATTGTCATCCATAAGGGCAAGTGAGTTGAAAGAAATTGTATTTGCACTCCAATTTTGTATATTTACATTTTTGCCAATAGCAAAAATATAAAGTGTAAATATCATTTTCCTAGAGTTGACCGCCAATACTCATATCCTCGAGTCTCTAACGTCGTGACGAAAGATGTATTAAATAATCTTTACTACTTTATCAGTTTACCATGTGGCATATATATAAATCTATATTCTCTTAAAACTTTTAAGTGGTCTTTTAAGACTAGTCAATCAGTTCTAATTTCGTTTTGTTACGAAACCTAAATTTAGGAAAAAAATAGAGATCATTGATCCAATGGCAATCTAATCTTATACTTCTGTCCCTGAAAACTCTTTCTGTTTTGACTTTTTTGTCAAACAATGATATTCTTTAACCACAAAGTAAACATAATCTAAATAAATAATTGTTACAAAATTTTGATATATCAAAGTTATATCCTAAGATGCATGAACCCAATTACATTAAGTTAAATTATAATTCAATATATTTTTTTCACGTTGTATAGTCAAAGAATGTCATCGTGAGACAAAAAAAATCAAAACATGAAGAGTTTTAAAAGACGGGAGGAGTACATAAATTCACTAACCAAATGAAGCCATGATGCTCACTTCGTCTCTAAATGAATTGTACACTACCACCAAAGTACTACCGCATGCCCCCGACCTGCAAGATATCATGGACGGGCTTGAGATTTATGGCCTGCATGAGCCAAGAGTCCCCGCCCACATTATAAATTTAATTTCTTTCAACTTCATTTTTTGTAATTTTAAACTCTTTTTAACGCAATCAATTTTGAATTGTTTAATTTCAATTTTATTTTTTAAATCCAATAATTAACATTTAATTAATTTTAATCTTTTTATTTACTTTTATTAATTTTGAATTTATACTTTTTATTTTATTTATTATTATTTACTCGTATATATTTTTATTAATAAAAAAATTTTCTTAATTTATATAACTTTTAAATTAAAAATGATGAATATCGTAAAAGAAATGAGAAGGTGAATTTTCGGGACGATATCATTACGGAATTTTGGAGCAGGACAAAAAAGTTAGTGAAATACCAATATGGGAAGAATTGATGCGGGGCGGATTTGGAATTGTTGTAAATGCCCTTAATTACCCCTATTTTTTCTAATTAACTCACGCCCTCGAGTCTCCGCAGCATCGACGAAAGAGTGCATTAATTAATTAATTACTGTGAATGTATATGTGGCATCATTTTACAGAATGAATTCCCCTTCTTCACGCACGGCTCGCCGCATCTGCCCTTATATACGGAGTATGTATCTACTCACGTCCAAGTCAGCATTGTTTTTAAAGAATCGTACGTTTTAGAACTCTCTATCGCACCCATACATAAATGACAACATTATGGGCACCGTTTCATTAAAGGTATACGCTAAAAAACGACACTATGTCCTCATTTTTGTTTATATCACATTTTTAAATTTAAAAATAAAAAATTATATGCCATGTATATAATGTGAAATGTTTTAGAACATACAAAAAAAAATTGAAACAAGTATTTTTGATACAAGTATACATTTCAAAAAAAATTACAATAAATTCAATAAAAATATTATTGCATTCACATAAGATCCAATTTTTGCTAATTAGTACTCCCTATGTCTCTATTTTAACAACAAAATAGAAATTACGATGTAAAATCTCACAATTTTTGAAATTATTTTATTTATAAATTGGTACATCAATAAAAAATAAAAATTACATATTAAAAAATTAAACTATGTCTAAAGTTTTTCAGAATAAGAAGTGATAAAAATATTTTATTTTAGCGAATAATCAATTAAAACACACAAATAAACAAAAATTATCAAAAAGAGAGAGAAAATAAAATTATAATTAAAATAGAGACAAAGAGAATAATAAAAATGAACTCATATTAACTGAAAATAGTCAAATTAGAAAAATAAATTAATGCCCCTATAATGCCAACTATCAATGGCTTCTTCTCTTTTTATTTTCTCTCTAAACATATATATATATATATATATTGAATTCATGTGTTTGTTTACACATTCTATGTATCTTCTATATATATCCATTTGAACACAACAGAGGATCAGAATAAAAGCATTTCCCCATCTTCATCATCATCATGTGTGGATGGTTTGGAACAAATAACTTTTCTGATCTATACATACTCTATGCCAATTGGATTCATCAGAAATTCATTCGAAATCGTGAGATTAAACTTATGAAATAGCCAATGGATTTTGATTATGGAAGACTCTGTTTTATTGACTAGAAATGAAATTCAGAACTGGAGAATAATTTAGAGAGGAAAGTCATCCCAAAATTGTGTTTATAATATGTTATTGTAGAATCAAAGAAAGAAAAAAAGAGATTATTAAATCTACTCAGCATATTTCTACGCTTATAATTACATTCCCGGGCGGTCCAAAAGGAAGAAATTTTTTTAAAACAAAAAAACAAAAATAATTACTCGGTAATTAATTAAAGACTTGTTCTTCATCAGTGAGATGAGGAGAGAGTGAGGAAGGGATGGGAATCGCGATGTGCGTCGGCTTGGCGTCTCCGGCCATGACGACGATGAAACTGGGAGCGGCGGCCTTGTCCGGCGCCGATCGGCCGGATTTGTCTCCGCCGTCGCCGGACGGCTGCTGCTGCTGCTGGTGGTGGTGCTTGTGGAGGGAGCAGACGAGGACGACGATTGCGAGGAGGATTACGGCGAATGCGACGGAGAGGCTCACGAAAACGTACGGAATCGGAGATTTCCATTGCCAGATTGTGTTGTTGTTGGGGTTGAGGTTGTCGGAGGAGGAGTGTACTGATGCGACGTCGTTTGAGGGCCTCAGTTCTCTCATCTCTCTTTCTTCTCTTCTCTGTGTTGCAAAAAAAAAAAGTGTGGAGCCGATGGGGGTGAATGGGGTATTTATTTAAATAACCGGATAGGGGTAGGGGCAGATTGGGAAATTTCCTTAAAATGACATTTCTCGTGAACATATTAATAATTACTCCAACAATCTTAGGGTTCTCCATTTTTTTATACCTCCTCCTTCCATAAAATATTTCATAACCCAAAAAATGCATTCTCTAAACATATATACATCTCATCCGTCCTGAAATGATCTTCTCAGTCACAATTTACATAATTAAACTTTTATCACTTTTTTACCTATTTTTATTAGTAATTTGATAAAATAATATAGAAATGTCACTTCTTGTTTTGTAAAGTTTTTGATGCAATTTTAAAATATATAATTTATTTTTTTAAATTTTGCACCTATAATAAAATAAAAAATTAAAAATAAATTCAATCAAACCTTATAAAATAAACAGAGAAGATCATTTTAGGATGGAGGGAGAATAATTTAATATTACTTTCTAATTTTTCTTACATAATAAGGAGTAATAAGGTTGGATATAATTTGTAAGATATAAGAGTCATGATTAAAAAAATAACATTAAAATTAGATATTTTTAAGTCATGATTTTTTTCGTCTTTGAAAAGTTTTATATACTACTGAAAAATTTTATTTTCTTTTAAATTGGAACTCAATTTAGATGTTTGTGGGTTATTGTTTAGGGCGGACTCTAAATTGGGTTTCATTGTTTTTATTTTTTCAAGAGAAAAAATATTAAAGTAGGAATAAAATATAGAAAAAGTTATCAAAATAGGAGTTGCAATAAAATAATGTGAATCTATAATAACATCAAAAAATATTATGGAATACAAATATACTCCGTATATTTCTAAATTATGATAGTGCAATAATTCTATTTTGAAGTTAAAAATATGAAACTCTTATTTTATATTTTATCTTTTTCTATTTTTATTTTAATTATGGAGTACTTAATTTATTTACAACGGTAAATTTCTAGCCGCGATCCTGTTTACGCGCCTTCAAGAAGTATCGGGGCAGGTTTCCTTCTTTGGCAACTTCGTTGATTTTTTTTCCTTTTTTTAATTTGGTTTCTTGCACCAAAATTACTCTTTTTTCCAGCGGCAGAACCATAAAAATACTCAATCGGTTCCATTATATTTTGTGTAAAATAAGATACAATAGGATATCAATACAATAATATCAAATTTTTAGATTTCTCAATAGGATAAATCTAATGAAAAGTTTTTATACTAACATAAATTAAAGTTTCTACATAAGTCATGTTTTTTTGAGTTTGAGAAATTAACCTCTAATTCTTTCCAACTTCTTTTAGGTCATTCTAGCTCTCTCCAGTTTCTTCTAATAACGATTTAAAAAAAGTATTTATATATGATGAATATATAATAGGGTATGGGGTTCCCATGACATTGGAACCCAATGTCATGGGATGACCCGGGGTGCTCCGGTGCCCCGTTCGTAAAATTGGCGGTTCCTACCCCCAGTAAGCCCCGCACCCCGCCCCGACCCGAACACACCCCTTGCCCCCGTCAATTGCACTCCACATACAAGTTGATTTTAACTTTGGAGTCAAAATCAACTTGTGGGGTGCAATTGACGGGGGTAAGGGGGTGTTTTCGGGTCGGGGCGGGGTGGAAGGGTTAGTGGGGGTAGGAACCGTCAATTTTACGAACGGAGCACCGGAGCACCCCCGGGTAACCCAATGTCATGGGAACCTTGGTGTATATAATAATACTATATGTCAAAATTTATAGCATACTACCTCAAATACGTACAAGGATGATTTTTTTAAATATAAAATTAGAGTTTTCTTACAAATTTATTTGTATGATCATTTAATTGAGTGGCTTTTTTAATTCTTTAAAGATGTGTTTGGTCAGTGATGGTGTAAATTATCCACCGAGAAAACTGTACTAGATCGGGTTTAGAATAGTTTACTGAGTCTAGAGAATGAAAAGTGTAGGAAAACAGGGAATGATTGGTGGGACTGTAGGTAGAAACACCTGTAGTCCAATTGTTTATTTCAATTGTTTATTTTTAGTGCTATTAGGAAAAATATTATGGGTCTCCTTTAAAAATGGGTCCTTCGCGGCCGCCCCCTAGTTCTACACTTCTACTCCCATGGCTGGCCCTACAATGCAATTTATTCAAATAATGATATATAATTGGGTAATTTGCCTAAATAGAACTAAAACATAATGACTTTCTCAATATAGGACCATATGTTTTTATTACCCAATATAGGACCATTGGTCATTATCTATTAGTCATTATTCAACTAAATGTCCAGCATCACTTGGACATTATTCTTCTCACTAGTCATTATTAAGTCCTATTTAAGGAATAAAAAAGTTTAAATCCTACATTGGAAAACAACTTATGTTTTAGTTTTACTCAGTGCAAATTTCACTATATAATTCTGACATAAAACTTTATATACTTTATTTTGTTGTAAATATATAGGTTTGACAGTTTGATTAATGTTTTTCTTTGATATGACATTGGAATTTTATTGAGTTCTCGAGTTCAACGGTTCTTACCATCACCTATTTTAAAAATTAATACTACCTCTAGCTAACCCGCAATATTAATCTTATTTTGATTCTTTACAATCTAAGTTGATAACCTTTAATCATAAATTAATATAAAATATTGATACAAAAAGTAAGTTTATTAGATTCCCTTTGTAAAATATTTTAAAAATATTATTTTATTTAATTAATATACAATGTAATTTTTATTTAATTAAACGTCAAAATATTGATTCTGGTTGATTTCAAAAATCAAAACTTGACAAACAATCCAAGCCGGAAAGTATTCACGTACAAGTTTTCAGCAAAACTTAATTAGCTTAGCATTTATGTGAGACACATTTCAGAAATTAAAAGTATTTCCGAGCCTACAATCACATAATTAAATTGCTAATTGTTTTGATTAGAATTTTTTTTGGATTGCAACTTACGAAAGTAATCGTAAAGTAGAAGTGAAAAATACTCCGTATGAGATATCCTTGAAAATGCGGAGCTGATCAGGTTCAATGAATTAAAGTTGTTTGATAGTGCACTTTGGTGGTATTGCAGATTAATTGAATTTTATTAACTTTAATCATAAAAAGTTCAATTCTAGTGCAATTTAATTGTTGAATTAACGACTGATTAATTAACTGAGTTGTACTATTGTTGTCTTAAGGTCCAAAAACTTGAATTTTCTCACAGTTTCTTATAGATTTGTAATTAGATCTCTTTTTTATAAGACGTAATACATACAATCATTTTATTTATTACGGAGTAATACCTATAAAATAGTATTGTTCTAAAATGAGTAGGTAATAACGCCAAGAATTTGTCAAAATTAAGATTGAATCGTGGTGGACAAGTTAGACAGCTGTCTAATGTCAATATTTTCCTTCTTAAATTTTGCTCACCAAAACGGGTGTTTTTTTAAAGTAGAAATCACAGACTAAAACATAAAGAAAAGTATCAAAGTAAGACTTTCATATTTTTTTCTGAAATAGGACTTGTACATGTACACATTATTATACGTTTTTGGTAATGTACATGAACATGTTTGGTAATGTAAGTCCTCTTTCGGGAATAAAAACATGAAAGTCCTATTTTGATATATTTTCAATGGTTTAGTTTTACTTCCGTCTTTCTTCCTTTTTTATGAAGAGTGATAGGAACCTTCACTTGAGTACACCAAATGCAATATATGTGCCAGCACAAATATTAAATATTTGTGTGTGCTTATTCTTGCCTAGGTGTTTAATGTATACTTGGTATCTCCAAGTGTAGTTCCCCTAGCAATTTTCTTTTAACATCAAATTCAAATTTTTTTTATAGAAAAACATTAAGTTTAAAGTTTTAATTTAAAGAACTTATTTAAAAGATAAAAAATATAAGTACCCTCTCAATTCCTTCTTAAATTGTTTATTTCGGGTATATTGATAGATCATAATCCTCAAATAACACTCACTAAAGTCATTTGCAAAGTGCTAAGTTTTGTTGACTTTGGTATAAGAAAAGTTGAGCCCAAAATTAACTAAACCGTACTGACTAATTGAGTGGATGTCTTCCAAAGCAACGCAAAGAACCCACCGGAATCGTTTATACCTAGCTAAAATTACCATTTTTCCTATAAGAAAGAAAAGTGAAATTTGTACTGAATAGGACTAAAACATAAGTCATTTCTCAAAGTAGGACTTAAACTGTTTTATTCTCTAAATAAGACTTAATAATAACTAGTGAGAAGAATAATGTCCAAATGATGCTGAACATTTAGTTTAAAAATATATGGTCATATATTGAGAAAGTCATTATGTTTTAGTCCTATTTAAATAAATTACTCGAAACAAAAACATAGGGCGCGGATTATTATCAAGCAACGGGCACAACACGTTCCTTGTTACATGTCCATATAACTGATACAATTTGATAATAACTTGTTTTATTGAATATTGAGAGATATGGCCCTATATATAGGGAATACAAGAGTAATCAAAGTACAAGTAGGAAAGGAAAGAATAATCCTAGTAGGAAAGGAAAGAAGTATCCTAATTTAATTATACTTCCTAATATCCCCCCGCAAGCTGATCAATGGAGACGAGGGGCAGCTTGGAACATAAGTACTCAAAAGTAACTGGCGAAAGCAGTTTGGTAAGAATGTCTGCTAGCTGCTCTGAGGAGGAAACATGATGTGGAGTCATAGTGCCTGCCATAACCTCATCTCGTACAAAGTGACAGTCTGTGCCCACATGCTTCATGCGATCATGAAGAACCGGATTTTTGGTGACACAGATAGTCGATTCATTGTCACAGTATAACTTTGGTTTGGTGCCTCCTTATGGGTCACGTAGTCACTATATAGCTTCGGTGTATCGAAGACGTTGGGGACGTCGGTATCGAGCTATAAGTCGAAGTCACCTACTAGATCTTTGTGCTCAGACGAAAAAGCACGTGGTTCTCTACTATAATCCTGGCTCATCCTCATACATCGGGCACCATCACTTGCGATCATCTTTATCATTGGCCCAATCAGAGTCAGAGTAGACAGATAGGTCGAATCCCCCCTTGCGAAAAAGAAGACCATGATTCAAAGTGCCTTTGAGATAGCGCAGAATGCGTTGCAAGGCATGATAGTCATGCTCAGTGGGGTTGTGCATAGTCTGAGACACTCGATTAACAGCATACTGAATGTCTGGACGAGTGACAGCCAAGTAATGTAAACCGCCAACAATGCTCCGAAAATGAGAAATATCCTTGAAAGGCAACGAAGGCTTAGTGATAGGTCTCGTAGCCATGGGAGTAATAGCCAGATGACAGTCGGACATCCCAGCTCGGCGTAGAAGATCACGGGCATATTTGGATTGATGGAGAAGCATAGAATCTTGCGTACGCTGAACCTCAATGCCAAGGAAGTAATGAAGAGGTCCAAGTTCTTTGAGCTTGAAGTCACGGTGCATGGCCTGAGTAACTTCTGAGATGAGAGTAGAAGAGCTGCCAGTGAGAACAATATCATCAACATAGACCAGGACAACAATAGTCCCACGAGAGCAGTGTCTAGTGAACAAGCTGGTATCATGAATGCAGCACTTGAATCCAAGGCCCTGCAAAAAAGAGGAGAGGCGTGTGTACCATGCACGGGGTGCCTGTTTGAGACCATATAGTGATTTGCGGAGCTTGCAAACATAGTGAGGATGAGTGGGATTTATGTACCCAGGGGCTGCTCCATATAAATTTCCTTGTCCACTGTACCGTGAAGAAAGGCATTGCTAACATCTAGTTGATGAAGAGGCCAATCACGGTTGAGTGCTAAAGAGAGGACCGCACTGTTTGTTGCTTGACCACAGGACTGAATGTCTCCTTGTAATCAATGTCATACTCTTGATGATAACCTTTTGCGACAAGACGAGCCTTATACCTTGAAACAGATCCATCAGCATTCCGTTTAATGCGATACACCCATTTGCAACCAATCGGAGTGCGGTTCTTGGGTGGTGGAACCAAGTCCCATGTACGTTGCTCATTCAAAGCAATAAACTCCTCATCCATAGCCTGACACCAAAAACTATTACCAGAGGCTTGGCGGTAAGTGCTAGGCTCAGTGGTAGGTGGGGTAGTATCAAGGGTGGTAATGGTATA